AAATTTTACATGTGCTCAGAATGCTGGTGACATAGAAATGCCTTTAACTTTAAAAATTAAGTTAATACAATGACTGTAACATCCAAGGCAGATAAACCAATCTAAACCACAAGTACATGCAATTTCACAGAATCCCATATAATTATGTAGACAATCTACACAATAGCAAACTGAAACAAACATTGCATTGAGAAGAAGAGAACTGTTGTAATACTTGTCTCTGCTACCCAAAACATTACTTAAATGAAATGATAGTGATAAGGATGAGAGAATACTTGCAAAAGGGTCTTACAATAGATTAAACTCACTGAGAGACAGAGACAAACCAAAGCAGCATTGTTCAGGGTCAAATGAACAGTATAAACAGTGTGGCTTGCTGAGAGGAATAGTAGTGGTGGATCATAAGTATATATTGCCCAACAGGTCCAACACTACTGCAAACTTATGTTTGCCATTGTATATAGTGCTCTGTACATTGTTAGAATAGCTAAAACAATACACACAGCTAAGAAGCTGGCAAGTACTACAGATTTACTCATCTCACAAAAGTAGCACACCTACAAAATGACAGACGTGCTTGTGGAGAAAGCCAAATGTCAGAGGGCAAGTTTAAACTGGCTTAAGGTAAAAAAATGCTTTACACCTAAAAATACCATTTTATAAAAGAAGAGCAGAAGACAAAGTGAAGCAGGGCATTAATATAGCTATATTTTGCTTTTCTAATATTCTGTAATTGCTACCTTCACTTTTTGCAATTCTTAAATAAGGCCACACTTGAATGTACAACAGAGCCAGTAGAGGTATATCCAATGTACATCGAAATTTTGAAATATTCTTTTTATCTCTGTTTTAAACTCTAAATACAAGGCACAAAAACACCAAAAAGGTCTTGCAAAGCTAAACACTGGGATTCAATCTCTGTCATTTCTTGTTAAAACAGTATTTTGTATCAAATGATACATACATGCCATCAAATTAATACATCTTTGCTGGAGCCACATGTTAAATGGATCAGTGCTATCTTTACCTTGTTTATGCCTTTTGTATTTTCAGTAAAAACAGTTATGTCTGTTTCAGTAGAAACAGTTCTTTCTGTTAATTCTTCTACATCATGAAGATGTAGTATTTTTTTCTATTGCCGTTAAACTTTATCACCTGTCTATAAAGCACTTTAAGCTTCCACCAGTATGTGAGGTGCTCTTTATAAAAAGTTATAATTATAATTATTATGATGTATTTGTACAGTGCTTGCTCCAGACATTGTCCACAAGCAGCTTGTCCAGAAATCTTGGTCCAGCAAGCTAATTTGCATTGCTGAGGGAGGACTTCCCTAAGAGCATGAGGAAGAATCACTAAGAGGAACCAAGATGCATAGGTGTTTTGAATGGCACTGTTTTTGTGGGACTTCACTTCCTCCCATACAGAACATTGCAACAAGTCGCTGTCTGACCAGAGCTCAGACCATAAACAGAGACCCCTCCCACCATGGACTGTTCTCGCTGCTAGCCACTGGAAAGAGGTTCCGAAGTCTTCGAAGCAGAACAGTCAGGTTCAAAAACAGCTTCTTCCCACATGCAATAAGACTGCTGAACTCTAAATGAATGCTGTTTCAATTCTTTTTTGATCACTCCATACCTGGGAGCTACAGTGCAATACACCCTCTTGTATATATACTTATTTAAAATGAATTTATCTGTTGACATAAATATGTTTACATATGCACCACACTCTGCACTACATTTCACTTTGCACTACATTGTATTACTTATGATTCTCCCTGATCTACTCTGAGCCTATGCAATGTAATTTCATTCTAATGCGCACTGTACGGTGTAAATTTGAATGACAATAAAGTCTGTCTAAGTCTAAGTTTTCCAAATGAAGTGGAGAAAGATGTGTAGTGTTTTGTCATTTTAAATGGCAAACTATGTGCAAGTTAGAAAATGTGAATGTATTTTACAGTTGGATTAGGGATTTGGTACATGAGATTCGGGTTTCAATTACAGTGCACTGTGTGTGAATTGTGAATGCTGAAAATCCCATGCATGTCCTAAAATGACCACTAGATGGCACCATCAATCATTATTAGCTCCGTTATTTCCATTTGCTTAAAACAACACTCAGCTTTAACAAAAAGACATGGATCTTTTTTCCACATATTTAATGCTTCCTTTTGTGAGGGGCGCAGATGAAGAAATGATTTAGATTATATAGATCTTAGGATAACATTATGTTTTACAAGAGTTCAGAGCTGTGTCACTATTCCCATGTATTATTTTCCAAATATGCACTCTATAGATCAGCTCGCAAATCAAGAAGAACAAAGGTAGAATTTTCAGCGAAAGCTTCTGTACTGTAAGAAGCAGACAAGACACAGCATGCAAATGAAGCCCTGAAAATGATCCCTTATGAGAACGTGTTCTTCAGCTCCCCCTCCCTTATCCACTCTTTTCATCTTTGTGTTCCCTTGCCAAACAGGATCTGTAGGATCTTTCTGAAGCATCTTCTCAGTAGAGAGGAATGTCTTTGTGTGTATATATGTAGAGATGGGCAATATGATGATAATTTATCATTATCATGATAAACAATATGCTTGTTCATCAGAAGAATGACCAACTGTATATTTCTAATAGTAGTTTATAAATGTAGTATTATTGACATTATTAGCATTGTTAATATTAGGTTGGGGGGCTTTGTAAAATAATCTGATATTTCCTTTTTATACCGTAACAATATTTGGCTTCAGAACTGTACATTTAAGGTGTAAGCCTCCCTAGACCAAAAACATGTACTGCGGCCTGTTCATTGCATGAACACCCAGCCCTTGCCCACTCCCCAAAAACCTCAGACAAGGACATGAATGGCATGCATAATGATTTCTGTGCTAGTAGCCTCTGTCCGTGTGAATCAATTACACAGATATTTTCTAGTCTTAGGAACTAAATAATGTGGCATGCCTACATGTTTGGGAGAGTAACAAACAGTGCATCACCACGTAACTCTGTCTAGAGTGATGACTTATATGTCAGACAGAGCTGTGAAGGTGAGAATCTTGAGCCTTGTCCTGCGGAAGTGAGTCATATATTGTAGTTTACTGGAACCCTAAAGGGAGTGGTTGTGAGGGCTTAAGATTATATACTTTAAATACATCTATAATGTCACTGTTAGAACAAAAAAATTCTTTTTTGACACGTTTGCAAACACCACATATAAGATATCTGTGACTTTGAAAACTAAAGAACTTTTAAGAATAACCTCTCACACCTAAAATAGTTAAGGCAATGCATGAAAAGGGATGTGTTTCAACAAATCTATACTGACATGTGAAGAAGGTGTGGCCTCTAAAAAAGTCATCTCTCTTTAACAAGTTGGTTTCATACAGCAAGAAGTACTGTGAAATCTTTAATCTGTTCTGTTTACTTGGAGCCTAAGTCAACCAACATCATTTTAAGTTTAGTGGAGCCCCACTTGATAAGCCCAGTATTCATAGCCTGAGGGACTAGCAAAACAGACTGACATACATTTGCTGTAATTCAAAATGACAGGAATGGAATGCAACAAGATTCTGAATAGACATGGACAAAGAATTATTAGCTCTAAAGTATTGTTTTTGTTTATAATGTCTGTGTCGTTCAGGTACATTGTTCCTGCTGGTGAAACATTTAACAATATTTTTGATAAATAAATCCTGCGTTTACATAGTGTAGCAAGATTTGTATTTCACAGTGTTAAAAATAAAGGTGCAAAAATTGTTTCATGAGAGATGCCACAGAAGAACCACTTTTGGTTTACTTAATAACCTTTTAATGAATGTTTCTTTGGACAAACGTTTTGTACATGATAATGAGAGTGTGAAAAACATTTATGATGTTTAAAGTACCTCCTATAAAGGTTCTAGGAAGTACCCTTATATTAGTATAAAACCATTATATTAACACTCACACATCTCTTTTTCAAATATGATTCAAACATGGGAACCAAAAAATTATTCTATAGCATCACTAAAAGAAACCTTTATGACTCATTTTTTAAGAGTATATTTTATTTTTTTTGGTGATAAACATTTCATACTACTAAACTTTATCTTTATATTTATCTCCACTAATCTTTATATCAACTCTTTATAATTGTAATATGAATCTAAGCAACACATTGTATTGCATACAAATGACTTCTAGCAATTTCTGATGTTATTGACTCTGCAATCTTTCATATGGCATATATAACAGAGTTTTTATATATATATATATATATATATATATATATATATATATATATATTTTACACCACTACAGTTTCCTAGTCCTAACCTCAGCTCAGAGTTTATCAACCAGTTGGTATGCACCGACATGCTGACACACAAAAAGAGAAATATTAATAATAATTTCTTAATGAAATAAATACTCTTGTTCACACTTTTGATAAATGAAACATTCACTGAATATCTGGATTGGATATTGGTGATGTCATTGCTGATGTGCTTTTCTTGTTCTTTACAATTGCCCTGAAGTGTCCACATTCCAGGAGGCCATCGAGTTACAACACCATCTCTAGTGCTAAGCTGAGAACATGAGTTGTTTTGTTGCTGAGTAACACGAGACCGCTACCTGGACCAGGCAAGCCAAGCCTAGAGCTTTATAGAGGGCTTGGCTTTTGGCAATGAGAAGACTTCTTTGAACTGTATTTTCAGTCACTTCTACTGTATATGCCTAGAAGAATTTGTTCAAACCAGTTTCTCAACTGCACTATCATAATTTTGCAATTTACATGCTAAGATTTTAAAATATACTTAATGTGTGTCGGAACAATAATTTCAAAATTGGTTTCCATTTCTATTCTCTTTAAAGAAGGGCAGATCTGAAAATTTGATTTGGTTCAATAGTCTTGTTTTATATTTATATTTTTGCAATAATAGTATTTAGTGAAATATTCTTAATAAAAATATATTAAACTCTGTCAAAACAAATAATAAAGCATAATAAAATGCTGCTGAATACAACTGTAAATGAATAAGTTTATTATAATATTTACAGTAGCTGATTCTTGAAATCCAACCATAAATTGAAATGAAGAAATTCATCCCATTAAATTCTGCCAAAATCTTTCTCACTGTATGCTATGTATGCTAGTGTTTGTGTTCATTACAAAATCTATTACTAATGTTTTTAACGTTTACTTTGAATGGTACCACAACTGGACTACAGGACCTATGCATATACAAACACCTCTAGCATTTAGTATTAGTATTAGGCAAATACTGCCAAATGAAATGGTATTATTAATAATCAGTGCAATGAAGGACAACAAATATTCATCAGTGGCAAACAATGTAAGTCATGGGAAAAAAATGAAACCTATCTATTACACTTCTCTAGCAGTACCTAGCCATCAAGAAATTATTCACATCCTTGAAATTAGGGCATATCATGCTCAACTGCTCCAAGAAAAATCCCATGTAGAGAGAGACATACAAACAGGCAGTACTTCAGTACCAAAGTCCTCAATATTGCTTCACTACACCCTGTCATTTTTGTACAGGTGCTAATCATACATAGCATGATTCTATGTGTCAATCTTGTGCACATAAGTTCATTCACTTAATTATATATGCTTTTCTTTTTTCATTTCATTTCTCTGACCACAGACTGGGAGTGGTTGTGGTTGGGCTGACAGAATCCTTGCGGGCCCGTTTGGGACTCTGGCCATAGCCAGGTGAGTGAATGAAGGTGGGACTGCTAGATGGAGATGAAGAAGATGATGATAGCGAAGAAGAAGAGGTACAAAAGGAGGATGATGCTTTAAGCTGAAGCCACTTCTCCCCAAGGGCCTTGGCAAAGTGGTCATCCACAGACACACTGATAGAGAGCTGCTTGGAGGAGCTGTTTTGGTAGTTCACTCCAAGACTTCTCTGGAAATGCTCCTCAACGTTATCACAACTGTGGTGGGTCATTACTACACAGAAGAAACCGAGAGAGGGAAAAGACCAGATTTAAAATGTACACTAAAATAGATAAAAAGAAGGATATAGATAAAATAAGTAATCTGACGTATGTTAATAGTAGTGAGCATTGTGATGTTGTAAAAAGCAATTAGAAGAACTGTTAAAAAATGCAGTCTCTTTACATTGTTAGCTTCTTACATTACATACCAGAGGAATGTTCATAGCAGTCTTCAGCCCTATGTGCTGACTTAGTTGATGAGACACAAGTGATCACTGAGGGACGAACCTGGAAAACATAAAAAGTGTCAACCAACACTCATTACATACCATACTGCAGGAAAAGTCTATCCTTTGATAGTGAACTCTATAGTGACAGAATAATGTTTAAGAGCCATTCATATGAATCTAACCCAATTCAGATTAATTCCTGAAGAAAACAGTTGTTTGCACATTTGTTCAAAGGAAGAAGATCTCAAAGGCATGTTTGTGGCTAAAATTCTATAACTTTAGTCTTTTCAAAGTTCCTAACTACTGCTTCAGTTCTGATGCCACTAACAGGTCAACAACGACCATGGTGTGTTGGGACTTGTTGACAACATTCCTCCACCCATTGCTCACATTTCTCCCTGAATCCGGCTGGATTGCATATCTGGGGCAGGCAGAGGCCTGTCTGCTCACTCAAGAAGGAGTCTGTTGGGAATATAGACAACCTTCTTGCATTCTGCTGAAACTTACAGATATTGGAGATAAGTCAACCTACATGGCCTTGGGAAAGATTCTAAAATTTGACCAGACACACTCTACTTTATGTTGAACAGCATTACTAGCACAGACAGAAATTGGTTGAATATGTATATATATGCATATGTATGTATATAAGTCCATACGTAGTTAGTGGTTTAGTATAGGTAAAAAAAAAATCTAAAAATCTCTAGAATAGAATAGAATAGAATAGAATAGTGTGGAACCTTTATCCAGTCCCCTTTTTATTCATATTGTATTGTACTTATTATTGTATTAATGAACTTATTTTTCAGCATAGTTGGGTAAATAATTTGTTCATGATTTGATAATTAAAGTCTAAGTATATTTTGTTGTCATATCCACTTTGAAAGTGTACAATAGAAATGACATTGAGTATGCCTAAGTTACAATATTTGAGTGTTTGATATTGGAGTAGTAATATCATTTGTCAAGATATTTCACACCAAATTTGGCCTGGTTGTGTTTGTTTACTGAAACGAATATTTTGCTGTGTTATGGATATGTTACAAAATAATTTTATAATATCAATTTTAAGTGGTAATTTATCATTTCCATTTTCCTCTGTAAATGATGCATGAGAGACAATCACTCTTTGTAAACAATCACCTGTATGTGCCTGACTGAGGTTTTTTTGTTCTTATCTTCCATCATCTCTAGTTCTTGACGGGGTTTCTTGATGAGGGCGAGAGGCTCATCCATACTTGGTGTGGAGAGGACAGGGCTGGGAATGAGGTCAGTGGGACTGGCTGTGGGGCTCCAGGTGGATGTAGGACTCTCAGGTATGTTGAAGCCTGATGTTCTCCTGGTGGTGTTGGCCAGGCTCTTACTTAAGGCCCTTTCTCTCCTGACAAAATACAGCAATGACTGTCAATCTCCAGGAAGCTCAGTGGTGTCTACTAGTAACAAAGAGTGGTAATAGCATTTGGCTAAACTGTACAAAGGTATGTGGCAAGCTACTTAAAAAGCCACCAGCAGATGTTCCTTGATTAGAGACGGCTGACACTGGATGTACCTCTCTTCAAGTGTCCGCCCTCGTTCTGAACTGTGCCTGTGTTTGGGTGGATGAGCAGGGACCACTCGCATTCTGTCACTGGTCATGTGACGGAACCTGTCCTCACTCCTCAGGTTAGGCTGACCTAGAAGACAACAGAAATGTATCTCACACATTTCACACAAGAGGACCACAGATTTTAAAGATGCTCAGTGCAAAAGCTGCAAAATTATAAGTGCATATTCCATGTCTGTAGAAAATCACAAATATGTGAACCGGTGTAAACGTAAATTAATTGAGATAAGTAACACAGTAGCATTATATGACTAGGCAATGATTATGGGAGCAAACGGTGAAAAGGAGTGGCAAACACATAAACAACCGTCTTACTGTTAATACTTGCTATTTCATCACTACCTGTATGACTTAATTGTGGGAAACTTTGCTGTGCTTTCGTTAAATGTAAACTCCGTTAAGCAGCAGAACAAGATCAACTGGCTCTGTGAGTATTACTGTGGAACCCAGCTGATTCACCACTAACGGTAAATGTCATTCAAATGCAAAACAAAAAAGGCAGCACTTGTTTACTCATTTACTCATAACTGCCTGGAAACAAACTGAAACTTTATTATCCATTCTGACTTTGTTTGCCTTGCTGGCCAACAACTGGAAATTTGTGAAATGGGACAACCATGACTGTTCACATCGTATTTTTACTCATCATCAAACAGAGCAGAATTATCCAAAGAGAACTCAGTAAAAACATTTTTATCCTAAGTATGTGATAACTAAGTATTATTTCTCAAAAACTCAAAGTGATACACTGAGCCAAGGAACAAATTAATAGGTGTCATTCAACTTTTTGTGGCTGTAGTTAATGTCAATACAGTACACGTTGTCAAAGTTCAGCACACCTCTGGTGAGTTTAGTTGGGTTTTATTTATTATGTCCAGAAATATCCTTAATGTCTTTCACCTGCAAAAGCATTATTAACCACAAATACCATACTATGTCAGGATAGCCTCGTTCACAAACTGTGAAAAGCACAGATCAATTGTACAAAACATTTAAATAAGTACATTCCTAAAAAACAATTAAAATCCTTAGATGCAAGTGTTAACATAAAAATCTTGCAGCATGAAATATTTAAGTCAAGAATCCAACACTCCAAGTGTCTTGAGGAGAAAATGTTGGTAAATTTCATGTGAACAGTAGCCTTTCTCCCTCACACTTACAAATATGCCCACAAAGCCAATTCAGTGGAGTGTGACAGGCTGGCACAGTCTGGCAGAGGACAGGGGGCTGGGTGTAAACCACACCTTACACCTTGAGTCGTTTTCTAGCGCCTGAGGGAGGGTTATTTTTCTTGAGAGCTCAGACACAAAAGCAGGCCCTCCTAAGGGTTCCATCATCTTTTTTATTCACTACCAGACAATTAACAACCATTTGCTGTCTAATATATACACTCACATAGTCTGTGATGAAGCACACACAAATGAAAGTCAGTGAAAAATACCATTTTTTGTAATTTTGTCACAGTTTTGTAAGTTTATCTGAATTCATTCAATTCAGTTCTAGCTATCCTCACTTGGATGGAAATGCTCTATAAAATTACATATTTTTACATTATGAACTAGACCAATTATGTTTTATATTCTGCTGGGCTGTCATTAAACATTATTGCAGCAAGGTATTTGTTAGATAGAGTCACACTTTTGGCTGGAAAAAATGAACAGAAGTTGTGATTAGAAGACCAAGTCAAAAATTAACAGAAGCTATTAACAGACGATAGAAGACAACAAAATGATTGCACAAGAGCACAAAGGGTAAATTACCTTCCAGTATGTAAACTTTAAAGCCACTGCTCATCCGAGTGATGTAGTGGAAATTAGTGAGAGCCATGGTTCCAGATCCGAGTTTTCAAGTGGTTCAGGGCCCTTGGCAACTGCTGACAAATAAATTCTATCTGGGCTTTTCACTAGGACAACTGAAATGTCAGGCTGACAACAACTCTACACTGTGCTCTGTATCAGGACTCCACTCCTGTGCTCTGTGTCATTCAAGAACATCTTCCTATTGGCTATTTCAAGTACAACCCCCTTCTCCATATCTTCCTGCTCTTTGTCTGCTTCTGTTTCGATGATGTTAGTCTCCACAGGTACCTTATGGGAGGAGTCTGGTAAGGAGCTGTAAATTGCTCTCTATCTGGATCCCCCTAACTGCCCCCTCGCGTAGCTCTTATGAAACTTGCAGCGGCAGAAATCTGTTGTGGCTCAGTATGTTGTGAATGTGTATGTTGTGTGTGTCTGCTAGTGGAAAATTGTATTCAAAAACGTTTAGTTGTATTTAAACTCAGATATTCACCATTTCCTTTCCCCTGAATCTTCTTAGAATCCACAAACAAGCATTGCACTGTCTTCTGTTTCCTCTCCAAGTGTTAGCACCTGTTGACAGCCCCTCCTTCAGGACTAATCTAAAATCTTGCTTGACTGCATTTTTTAGAGCGCTTAGCCTACTTGAGCTGCAGTCATTTTGCCAACCTGCCTATACACGTAGCTTCATGTAAGTGCAACTAACCTTAAAGCACCATGTCTTTTCTTCTTCTTTTATTTCTTCTTTCTTTAGCTGGTCAGACAAATGCTGTAAGCACTGAAAGATCTCTGTGCTCTGTGTGTGAGTGATCTTGCCTGAGCATGTTGAAGCATCTGGATACATACCCAAACTGTGAAATACAAACACACACACACACACACACACACAGTATGTTGGTAAGTCAAGTCTAACTTGGCTCTTTACTAGGACAATGAAAATGTGAGGCTCTGCATTGTTCTCTCTATCAATACTAAGCTCCTGTATTCTGAGGAAACACCAGTCGGGAACAAATAAACATACTGAAGTTGTTTCTAAATGACATCTTTTTTCAGGTTGTTACTGATGCAGTTCTATCAGATGTTACAATGCCTCTCAAAGACATGGTAGTAGTCCATTGAGTCTTGACCCCATTGTTACCAATATTGGTCAGTTATGTCTCCTTCAAGGTGCAGGTCAATAACCATAGAATATGGGCATTATTCCAAAAGAATGTAGTTTCTGTGAAATATGTATAAGGTGCATTGGAATAATTTTGCACATAGCCTTGGATAAATCTGTGAAATTTACTCACTTATTTATTTGTCAACAAAGTGAATATTGGGCAAAGTGTACTGAAGTTGCATGAAAACTGGCACAATGATGTTGGTGCTTGGCTTTGTTTTAAATGCAACCAAATAAAACTTCTTTTCTTGTGGTGCAGGTTTTTTGTAACCTGAAAAATGAAAACAAACAAACAAAAAAGCAAACTAGCTGAAAGCAATTAATTTGAAGAACAGGCTTGAACTTTGTGGCATTATTATACCCCCCAGTTAAGTCAAAAGGAAATTACCTTGTCTCATATTCTATAACTAGCTAAATGAATACCTTGCCCAGATGCCACACATGCTGATGTAGCCATCTACTGTAAATGTTTACACAACTCATCGCCTATCATTATTGGCTTTACTGTTGCTTTTCTTGTGTTTTCTCTTTATTCGACTACATACAATGGAGACATACTTCATAGCAGTAATCTAACTACACATAATGATATATTTGGCTAATGAATCAAGTGGTAGATAGTTTAATCTTTGGCATACAGTTGAACTAAGAAAGTAACTTACTGTCCTCAGAACCAAGTGTATGTTTATAAAGAAAGGGAAAAAAGTGTATAGTATAATATGTAAGTCCTATATTCTGCCATTGCTTTGGGTACAGCAAGCGTCTCTCTCTTTCTCCATAACAGATGTTGGAACATCTCCTGGCTTTCCGAACAGTTCCTCGCTGTCTTCAAATGCTGACTGAAGACTGATCTCTTTGTAAAGCACTTAAATGAACATTAATCTATAGCATTATTGAAATGCATTGTATTGCACTTATACTATGTCTTAAATCTGTATTTTGTATTTTTTCTAGGTATCAACACTGGCTTTTGTTTCTGCCAGTGTGTTAGCTCAAGGCTGGTTTGGACTCTAACCTGTTTTTACTAGTTGGAATACATTTTCTGAGTGGACAACAAAGCAATTTTGTAAGTTACTCTGGATAAAAGCGTCTGCTAAATGCTGTAAATGGAAATAAATTATCCCATTTTACACAGCTTGTCAGTGAATATATGTGCTGAAGTATGGATTGTATAAACAGTGACCTCTTGAGGCGGACAAGTCTGATAGCAACAGGTATATATTTATATTTATATACTGTAAAAGACTCTTAAAATACAGCTTTACACAGGAGCAGATGATTAAATTTAAGCCCACTAGCTACTACTAAAAAATTTAGTTAAGTCTTATACACCTCTTTAAATACTTACACATGAAAGTGTACTAATGTAAGATGTAAGAAAATGTAAGACTGTAAGAAAATTGCTTTGCAGGATACACCTTTGTGGTCTGTGTAATCTGCATATCATTAAGAAGAGCTAGGTTTCCTTCTTCACACTGGAACTTTCAGTCAACCATTTTCTGTGGCTTTGTAGAGTACCCATGTATTCATGCCTACAGTGCTCCCAAAAGGTATTGGCAAGATGTACTTGCTTCCATTTTTGCCAGAAGAGGTCCTTGATGTCAAATGTTTCTGGCATGTGAAGGAGCGCCAAGCTTTTGTGTTAGTAACATGGCTGGGGTCAAGAGAGTAGGTAAAACAGGATCACTAGACGGGAGCCAAAGGTCTTGCATTCACTGAGACTTCTGCCATAAACATAGAAAACACTCTGTGTGTGAGTCACAACTGGAGAATACACAGGAGCATAGAGTCCAGTATGCAATGCCAATCATCCTTTTCCAAGTCCTGCCTATAGGGGAAGCATGGTGAGGATTAAAAACCCAGTGATAACCTCCTTAGCTCAGGTTGGTTTTCAAGCTTGGTTCTTCCAAGACCATGCACGGTTCTTTATAAGTACCCCTAAAATTGGAGCCACAATCGGAGCATATTTGTCTTGCAGGACCTAAAAAAGTGTCAGAGTGCATTAATAAAACTATACTATATGTAAGTATTAGGACACACATCTTAATCATTGAATTCAAGTGCTTCATTCAACCCCATTGCCTCAAATCAAGCACCTACCCATGCAGTCTGTCTTTCTAAAGAGCTCACTGAATTTGAGCGTGGTACTACAGTAGAATGCCACCATTGCAACAAGTCAGTTCACAAAATTTCTTACCTCCTAGATATTCCACGATCAGTTGTGAGTGGTATTATTGAAAAGTGAAAGCGTTTAGAAACCACAGCAACTGAGAACAGACCACATAAAGTTACAAAGCGGGGTCGGTGATTGCTGAGGCGCATAGTGCATAAACGTCGCCAACGCTCTGCTGACTAAATAACTGCAGAGTTCCAAACCTCCTCTGCCATTAACATCAGCACAAAAACTGTGATCTAAGTGTAGTATCACAGTTCTCGATACCGTAATGATAATTTGGCAAAAATAAATAAATAAAAATAAATAAATAAAAGACCATAAAAATATAAAGTCCTTTTATTGTCTGAATGTAAAAGGTTTATTGGGTTGAACACAAAACTGAGGCTGCCAAATTTTGATTTTGATTTATAATTGCAACATTGCTAAATAAAGTTTGTTTAGACCATGCCTTCAACATGTGGTGGTAATATGAGGGAAGACTGATTGAGGACTGAGAACTAGGCTGGAGTACTAGAACTGAGTGATCTTCACATGATGAGAACAGATGTCCAGAAATCTGGTTTTCCAAGAGCAGGTTCCGAAGTGACAACAACTGTAGCAGGGTGGGTAACTTGGTATGACTGTATGCCAGTGGAATATGGAGGATCTGGATTCAGAATCAGGTTGGTCAGACATTTGGGTATCTAAGGCATGGTATGGTTAGGTAGAGAAGTTTAGTCCTGGCAGAAAAGAGGTCTAGTAACATAGGCCCTTGTATGATGCTTGGAGTAAGTAGTTTGCTATTAAGGTTGTAAGATGAGAAGAAAAATGGAGCAGATGAATTTGATTCTGTGTCACATTGTGGCATGCCTCTTAACAGACATCCGGGTTCAAACCCCTGATGAGCAAGCCAACGGCGACAGTGGCAAGGAAAAACTCCCAGTGAGGAAGAAACCCTGAGAGGAACCAGGACTCAACAGGGGAACCCATCCTCCTCTGGTCGACACCAGATAGTGAAGATTGTGTTAAACATGGCAGGCAAAGGGGTTGGATGAGAATAAAGCAGATTATATCCTTCTGAATGAAATGAACATGGAGCAGGAATGGCTGTTGGAGGTGGTTGTGGGTAGATATGAGTGTTGAATGGCTTGATGACAGAGACAACTGGATGATGCTCTAGCCACTGCAGGAGGTAGTATGGCATGGAAATCCTGTTGGCAACAGCATGGTTGTTCTGTTATGGCAATGGGTGAGAATAACTTGCTTGAAATTTAAGCCCCCAAAAGACTGATCATGCCAAAAAGACATGGGCCCCCAGGACTGAGAGCTGAATGGAATAAGAGAGTGAAGGAAAGTCAAATCGGCAGTGGCCAAAGAACAACCGGAGTGCCTACGAGAGCAGCAGATTACAGACAGCATTTTTATGAACAAACTAATAGTAGTCCAGTCAAAGGGAAAAATTAAGAAATGGATCTGAGTACAGATAAAAGTCATCCAAGATGGAGCTGGTCTGAGGTAAAGCTGAGTTAAGACAGCAATGAGTTGCGGAGCTGACTGTGTTGGATCTGAACATAGATGGAGCTGATCTAAGATGGAGCAGATCTAAGATGCAACTGATCCAACATGAAGCCAGGCTGATCCAAGATGGAGAAAAAGTGAGACAGATGTGAGTTGCAGAGCTGATTGCACTGGAGCTGATCTGAGACAGATCTGGTCCGATATGGAGCAGAGTTGAGACATAAATAAGTTGCAGAGCTGTTGTGTTGGCGCTGATCCTAGATGGAGCCGATCCAAGATGGAGCCGAGAGAGTGAAGTTTTGCGGAGCTGATACACATTGGAGCTGAACCAAAAAGGAGTTGAACTTGAGACGGAGCCAGGATGAGATGGAGCCATAAAGAATAAGAATGGAGTTGCAGAGCTGGGTTGTAGGAACCGATCCAAGATGGGACCGTGTTGAGATGGAGCCAAGTTGAGTGAGGAGTTGCAGAGCTGAGACACATCGGAGCTAACCCAGGAAGAAGTTAAACCTGAGACGGAGCTGGGATGAGATGGAGCCATAAAGAGTCAGAAAGAGGTTGCAGAGCTGGGCTGCAGGAGCTGATCCAAGATGGAGTGGGCTGAGATGGAGCTGGGTTGAGATGGAGGCATGTAGAGTCAAAGAGAAAGGAGTTGCAGAGCTGATTGAGAGGGAGCCTAGTTGAG